GCGGGAACCGGTCTGTATGTGGGATCCGAACCCTCGGGCGGGAGCGCCGCCGCCCTTCCCAAGCGGCGCACTTATCCAGTGCGCCACCGGGCCGGCCCTACATAGACTATTTTTTAATTGTCATAAATGTACTGGTGAGGAATATGTATTTTTTAATCGTTAAGTACAAGTTTCTGTGTATGTTTATTAAATCAAACTTACTAATTGCACTATTCAAATTCTCTATATTTTTACTGGTATTTTGGGGGTGCGGGGAGTTGGCTTGATCTGTCTGTAATTGAGGTCTTGAAACTGTTACTCAGATGTTAGACATGTCACTTTCTCCTTGAGCTCTATTTGTTTTAATTTGTTTTGAGGCTATATTATCAGTGCATATACAATTTTAGAACTTTTATATCTTCTTAATGAGCTGTATTTTTTTTTTTTAATCCCTAACATCCTTTGTTTAAAAGTGTATTTTTGTCTAATCTGATATTTTTGAGATAGCCACTGGCTATGTTTGGTTACTATTTAAAGGAAGATTTTATTCTGTTCCTTAACTTTTAACCTTTCAATATCCTATAAGTTTTTGTGGTAGCTCTAGTGTTTTATTTCATTGTTGTTTAGCAATTCAGTTTGTCAATCTTATGAGTGGTGAGTTTAATTTATTTATACTTATTGTGATTGTTGGTATATTCGGACTTGTTTCTATTGGTCCTACTTAATCTATACTTTGTCTGTTTGTGACAACATATGGGTTATTTCTTCAGATCTTTCTTCCAGGTTGTTACTTTTCTCTTTAGCTGTGTCTGATCTTCTGTTTAAGTCATCCGTTGGTTGTTTTTAAATTTAACAAGTATATATTTTTATTTCTAAAAGTTATATTTTCAAATCTGCCTAGTCATATTTTATAATTATTTATTATTTTTATATTCCCTCTTTTATTTTGTTAAGCATTTCACACAGTTATTTTATGTCTAGTTATTCTAATATATGAGTCAGAGATTTTTCCAAGAGTTAAACTTTGTAGAAATTTCAGGCATATATCAATCAAGAGGAACCGTAGGAGCAGGGAGTGATCAGAGACAATTTTTATGCACCCTCTCCTCCAGTTCTTTCCTTCCCATGTTGGACATCTTGGGTTAGACAGTTCTCTGTTGTGGGGAGGCCATTCTGTGCATGTTTAGTAGCATCACTGGTCTCTACCCACCAGAGCCAGAAGTAGTCTACCTTCACTTCCCTTTCATTTGTGACAACTCAAAATATCTCTAGATAGTACCTTTCCAGTTGTGACTACTCAAAATGTCTCCAGATATTGCCAAATGTCCCATGTGGGTGGGGGTGAAGAGGGGTTGGTGAGGAGGGCAAAATCATCCCTAGCTAAGAACTACTTTAAAGACTTGTATAGCTTATGTAACATTCTCCTGGGAGACATGCCTTATAAATCTATAGATAGTAGTTTTGTTATAATAAGCGCTCTTAAACCAGCGCAGTCTTTTAAGAGTATTCTATAGATAAGGACTCTCCTAGTAATAATTTTATTAGTCTGTTTGCCTGGAGATTAATTGTTTAGTTGTCAACATGTTAACTAGGAGATTAGACCAGGCCGTGTCTTTCCCTTGGTGTTTTCCTCCTCACTAGTGGCTTTAATTATTTCCTCCCCTGTTCTCCATTCTCCCTGTTACCATTGTCTCCTTTTCTCCATTTTTCTTCCTTTAATTCACTTAACAGATAATTGTGAGTGCCAAAAATATTCAAGTACTGTTCTATTCACTAGGGGAGATCAGTAAAATAAAAGTCTTTTTTGTTGTGAAGCTTACTTTTTGTGGGTCAAGACAACACATAAATTAGTAAATAAGAAAATGTCAAATATTAGTTAGTGCTGTAAAGAGAATTACAATTTTGTGCTTTGATAGGCAGTGACTGATAGCCACCATGTTTTAGATAGGGTGGCGAGGAAAGGCCCTGTCTTAGGAAATATCTTTTAAGCCAAGATCTGCATGTCAAAATGGCTATATGAACGTCAGGGGGAAGAGCATTCCAAGCAGAGGGAGCCACTGTGTATTAGTCCATTTCTGTTGCTTATAACAAAATACCTGGAACTGGATAATTTGTAAGAAAATTTAAATTTATTACTTACAGTTTTGGAGTCTGGGAAGTCCAAAGTCCAGGGAACACATCTGATGAAGGCCATGCTGGTGGTGACAATGGACAGTGATGCAGGGTCTCATATGGCAGAATGGCAGAGCAGAGAGAGAGAGAGAAAGAGAGAGAGAGAGTGAGCAAGTGAGAGAGAGAGAGAGAGAGAGACTGACTCTCATGTGCTCTCTTTAAAGCCGCCAGAACCATTCCCATTATTCCAAGAATGGGTCAATCCATTCATGAGGGTATAGTCCTCACAATCTAATCACCTCTTCAAGGCCCCATTTTTCAATTATTATAGTAGGATTTCCCACCCTCAACAAGTACAGTGGAGATTAAGTTTTGGGGGGACTTTCAATCCAAGGCACATTGGAAAATTGTGTAATGTGAAATGAGTGAGCATAAAACAAAGCTAGGGAAAATATGGGCAAGTTCTTTCATCTCTCAATATTATTGGCAGTAGTAACATAGTATTTGAGGCCTGTACTTGGGAATATATAGAACTCGTTTGGTGGGAATGTTATAGTAGTACCCTGAAACAAAGTGTCTTTTTGTTTCTGTATTCTTTCTCTAACCATAGCCAATGCATTATGAAAAAAGCTTCATGGGTAGAAAATTTGTTAGGAGAATTTTCAGCATTGGTAGCAATTGCTTTTTTAACTAATTGGTTTGTTTTTTCTCTTGCACAGGTCAATTTGTTGCGTTTGATTACCTCTCACCTCCTCCAAGCAGATAAATATCATACTGTTTTGTCTCAGTTTCATGTTTCTTGTTGTATGGATCACTGATTGAAAAATAGATGGCCTTACCTCGTCTCACAGGAGCCTTGCGCTCCTTTTCAAATGTCACCAAGCAAGATAATTATAATGAAGAAGTGGCTGACTTAAAGGTAAATTTTTTAGATGAAAAACATTATAAACATAGAGTATGGGCAAATATTTAACATTCTTTTTCTCAGTTCTCTATGTGCTTAAAATGGAAATTTTGTCTAGTTTGGTATGAGACCAAGAAGAGAATGGTTATACTGATGTCTCCTATGGGAATACTTAATATTAAGCACCCATAGCTTTATTGTCAAAGGGAATAATCAGAACTGCAATAATGAATCTTTTGTTAATTTTTCTGTTGCTAAGGTCCCTGCTGCAATTAATTTTGTAATGTAATCTGTACTTTACCTTTGGATCATCTAAGTTTTTAGGTTTCTGGTAAAATTCGTATCAAACAGACAGAAATAATATCTATACCTGGGAAATCTGAATGTTAATCTCTTGAACTTAGTAGTTGGTCTCATAATTGACTTGTCCTTATTGGTAAGTGAGGCATTTAAGGTTTAAAAAATGCTTTTTTTTTTAAAGCCACTTTATGACTAAAACTTCAGAAATAAATTTTAGAAGAGACAAAAGTTTATATGCACTCTATGTTTTGACTTTTATAGTAAAGGCTGACCCCTGCTTTAGTACTAATTATGGTATGGAAAAGTTTCCTTATATGAGTCAATTTTACAATGAACAGTGCCAGTTATACCCTTACTGCAAGTATAATGTAGTTAGATTGCACCAGTACAAAATGGTTATCATTTGGAGCATCACTTTTGTCTTATTGAGGGAACATCTTCAGTCACTTTCCTACATAGGTCCCAATGACTGCATTTTCTAAACCACAAAGTAGGGCATATGATTTGGCAAAGAATTTCTTCTGATGGTTAAACTTATATAAGTCTTATAAAGGTGTAAAATAAATAATGTATAGTTACAAACTTAATTAATACTATAGAAAAATAAAAATATATGATATCAAGACCTCCAGAAAATTCTAGATGCGTAGTTATAAAATATTTAGAGGAAAGATTCTTAGAAATGTCCCTGATGCGGTATATTAGTTTGCACAGAATAACACAAAATACTGTAGATTGGGTGGCTTAAATGACAAAAAAACCATCTTCTCACAGGTCTGTAGCTAGAAGTCCAAGATGAAGGTATTGACAGGCTTGCCTTCTTCTGAGGCTTCTCTCTTTGGCTGGCAAATGATGACAGCCTTCTTGCTTTGTCCTCACATGGTCTTTCCTCTGTAGGAGCACATTCCTTGTGTCTCTTTGTGTGTCTAAATTTTGTCGTCTTGTAAGGATACCAGTCAGATAGGATTAGGGCCTACCCTAATGGCCTTAACTTAATCATCTCTTTGAAGGCCCTGTCTTCAAGTACAGTCACATTCTGAGGTACTGAGAGAGCTGCAACATATGAATTTTGAAGGGACACAATTCAGCTGATAACATATGGATTCTGATCAGCTGGTAAATGCATGTTTCCATTACCTGTGATGAATTTCTTTATTTTTAATCTTTAAATTACTGTAGTTTCTTCCTGAATGTGATTTTATGGTATATGCATCTTCTGTTTTAAAAGGTATGAGAAAAGAACAAAAGCTATAGCCATTCATACCATTTTTATGTATTTTGGACATCTTTGAAATTATTTATCTTTAAGTTGCTGATTGTAAAAATTAAAATATTAATAATAAGCTTTATATTATGGATGAAACCTATGGAGACATTTAAATACATAAATAATGGATTAGCTTTTCACTAGGAAAGGGTAAATGTTTTAAAGGCTTAGCCATAATGTTGTGAACTTTATAGGCCTGAAAGAATATGAACTGTACATGGGAAGAAATGAACCATGTAATGTAGTATAAGAAGGAACTGGCCTTATCCTGTTTTGAAAAAACAAAATTTATGTTAATTGCTGACTCCTTTTTTGACTTTACTGTAGAATAATAACATCATTTCCTAGTAGGTTGGAATTTTATTGCTAAAAGCTTCTATGTAGCTTCACCTAAAGTTTGACAGTAGAAAGCAAAGATTTGTAACAGTCTTGATACGTTTTTTTTTGTCTAATGATATGGAATTTTCTTCGATACAAAACAATTCACCTTCTTTAGAGTGGTGCTGTTTTACATTTTTCACAATTAAAATAAGGAATATTCTATATAGTTAATCAATATTGCTATCTTAAATTTGAATTATTTCCTGTCCTCATCTTCCTAAGGCCCTTTGCAAGTTATTCTGTATTAAGGACACAACAGAAAATTTTAAATTTAGAAGTGTGTAAGGACTACATGCTTATCCCATTTCATTTATTCTTGTAGGCTTTTAAACTTTTTTTTCCTGAGGAAAGAAAGTGGCATATATAATGAGCCTTATTTTAATGTAACTTTTTATCTTAGAAAATGTCCAACATATATGAAAGTTGAGAGAAAAGTAAGATGAATGAATCTTTATGTACCTGTGACCTCATTGTAACAACTTAATTTATTTTATGACCTATCTTATTTCATCTCTACCTTTGCCCATTCTCCTCCCCATTAATACCACATTGACTAGTCCCATTTTAAATTAGAAAACTGAGGCAAGAAGGTAATGGTGAATTATGCATTATCATCAGTATAACCAAAAGTAAAATTACAATTTTCTATCTGACCTACTACTTTTTTATTTGGTTAGAAGGCTTTGTGAGTTTTATCCATGGATCAAACCCAGTAGTCTGAGAGAAAATTTTTATTGCTTTATATGCTCATTTCTTGAGAATGGGAAGATTTATTGTGTTAAGAAAGAGTGTGTATAGAAAAGAATCTCCCAAATGCATAATCTGTGCTAGGATTATACTTAGGAAAGCAATGCTACTTGAATATATTGAACCCATCATGGGAATCTAGTTTTCTTTAAACTCCTTTTATCAAAAAGCATGACATAAAGCTCTTATTTAAATATACTGTAGCCTAAGCTATGTTAAAAACAATCAGAATAATAGAAGGAGGTATGTGGGATGTTACCAATTGTTGCTGTCTTGATGTTGAACTTTTTCCTTTGCTTTGTATTTTATTTTGCTGTAGGAAAATAATTCCATAATGAGTATGCATTGTAATTAAAATTGAAAAAAAAAAACTTTTATTAAACCTATCTTTTAAAAAAGTAAGACTTTGAGAAATCACATTTAAATAAAGCTCCTTTTGAGAGCAGTCAATTTGGGTGTAAATAAATACAACTTTGAATTCTTTTAATTTTTTATTTTTATTATTATTATTTTTTTATTATACATACATGTGGGGAACTTTGAATTCTTGTATCTAGTGCATGTTATATAAAATAATGCAAAATGTATGCAATAAGAGATGGATTTGAAAAAAAAAAAAGAACTTTTACCAATATTTCCTTATATTATGCTCTCTGTTTCAGATAAAGCGATCCAAACTTCATGAACAAATGTTAGATTTGGACCTGACATGGAAGAAGATAGTAAAATTTTTGAATGAAAACCTGGAAAAGAGTAAAATGCAAAGTGTAAATGAAGACTTAAAGGATATATTACATGCTGCAAAACAAATAGGTATAGTTTTTTGTTTCGTTTTTTTTTTTTTTTAAGAACCAGGTTCAAATGCAGATTTCTTATAAACTTATACTATGTAGTGAAAGGTTAAAATTTCCAGGCAAGTATTCATAATTATGAAAGATAGTCTTATCTATCAAGGAGCTTGGGATAGAGTGGTTGGGGTGTGGCGTAGGGGGGGAAGTAAATTTGTAATTACAACAATGAAACATGAGGGATTTTTAGGAATTTAGGGTTTGCAAACCATTGTCTTAATTGAAATAAGGATAAGGTAAATTAAAAATTTAATGTAGTTCCAAGGAACCTTAAAAGCCATGTAGCTCAATTTCTTGTTGTAGATGCTCACCTAGCACACAGTAAATGGCAGCAATTAAGCTGTACTTTGCTTCAATTCTTATTTCACACCAACATTTTCATCAATTGATTATATTTGAAGGAAATTATCTTCTAAAATTATAATACTGTATACTTAATGCATGTTACTTTCCCAAGGTTAAAAACAAAACTAAATGAAACAAAACAAATGACTCTGGTAAAACACCTGAATTTGTACATTGAAATTCATCATATTATTCCAAACTCTGACAACTAAAAAGAATAATTAACACTACTTTAGTTGTAAATTTTCCAAATTCAGAAGTTCTGGACCTACAAGAAGTCCAAACTCATACTCTGGCTGTATGTGATCTGGCCTGGCCTTTCTCTCTGACCTCACACCATCCTTGCCCTCACCAACTGTGCTTCAGACACATGGCTTTGTCTTCCTCAAACTCACCGACCTGGGTGCCTGTTTTGGGGTCTTTGCACGTGCTGCTCCCTGTGCTGGGAATGTTCTTGTGTTCTAATCTTAGTGCTGGTAGATTTTTTCATGTCATTCGAAACTCAGCTAAAAATTATGTCCCTAATGAGGCCTTCTGTGACCACCAAAGCTCAAGTTGTTACCCAGTCACTTTTTATCTTATAAACCTCCATAACATTTTCTCCATAATATTTATCATTATCTGGTATTTTGCTTTTTTGTTTATTGCCACTAGGATACAAGTTTCATGAGAAGAAGATCTTATTTTTCTTGTTCAACACTTCATCCCAAGGGAAAATTTAGATCCTTATGTTACCATATGCTGGTTGGCAATTCTCTTCTTTTCATCAACTTTGAAGGGTGTTTCTGTTATAGCACGTAGACTTAAACACTTATTTATGATCATCAAATATTTAAATTTTTTCTTCAGATATTTTGACTTTTTTTTGATACATCATTTAACTATCTTTGGTGTGAAATTTAGTGTAATATTGAATTGAATGTCCTCATTGTTTTAAGTTGTGAAAGTATAAATGTCATGTTTTTGCAAGTAGATGATCTTCAGAAGTTCAAGAGCTTTAATACAAATTGAGTTTTCTTAAGCCCAGGGGAAATAGAGCACACTTTGATGAGAGTTGTGATAGCTTTTGGCATAGAATTACACTGTATATTTTAAACATATAGAGGCATTTTGGGTTCTTTGGAAAATAATAGTGAAAATGCAGAAGCTTGGGTTCATCTAGATCACCTTGACTAGGATCTTAATCCTTCTGGTTTGGCATAGAATTACACTGTATATTTTAAACATATAGAGGCATTTTGGGTTCTTTGGAAAATAGTAGTGAAAATGCAGAAGCTTGGGTTCATCTAGATCACCTTGACTAGGATCTTAATCCTTCTGGTTTTCACTGTCTGTATTTGTAAGATGTTGGGGTCACCTGGATCTGATTAAAGTACTTCTCAAAAACTGTACAGAGTGCCCTTCTTATTCTTTAGTTCCATTATTAAAATACCTCAGAATACTTAGCAAAAACAGTTATGGAATATTGAGTTTAGTACCATGACTGAATTGTCTCTTTTTATAAATTATGTGGAAATTAAGATTTTTTAAAAAAACAAGTTACTGTTTAGACAATTTACCTTAATATCTCAGGCCACAAGTCAAAAGATATTGTTTTAAATACCAGTCATTAAATGTAATCCTAGTGGTTTTGCCTGTTGTTGAAACATTTGATTCATACTTAGGGACTAATCAACTGACTGATGTGTTTAAAGGATTGATTATTTTGAGCTTTAGTGTTTGAAAAGAATATTTCTGTGACAGATAAAATCTTAGTGTTAGATTTAGGCAAATGCTGTTATACCTACTTTTTAATACTGTGCTTAAACTGAATAACGATTAGCTTTAGTGAAACTAGTAATAGTAGTCAGCCATTGTTTCTAAATGAAAATGCTGCTGATACTGGAAATGTAATTAAAAACTAGCAACTTTGAAAAGATTAGTCTCATGGGGAAAATGTCCTGTGATTTCTCTTATATTTGTCCTGTAGCACAGATAATTTTGATGTAATTTTATTAAAAAGGTAGAGCAAGAGAATAAAGAAAAACAATTATATTTCATATGAATATAATATAGTATATGGCACTTGTTTAAGACCATGTGTATATTGATTAGTCAGAGTAATAGATCCAAGGATACTTCAAAGAGTTTGTGGAAGAATGGAATTAAAAGATAATACATTCTTTCCATAGACTTTTTGAAATACTCTCATATTTTAAGCTAGCAGAAACATCAGGGAACATGTTGTCTGATCCCTTCATTTTGTATGTGAAGAAACAGGGCCCATGGAGTTTAAGTGAACCCTGTGGTTTGGTGTGTGGTAATGGTAGGCCTAGATCCACATTTTGAAATAAAAACTTGATAGAAATCCTAGATTCTTACCTTTCCTTTTCTTGTGTTCAGAGGCCATGTCCTGCCAAGTAATTTTTAGCTACTCTTAAATTTCCTCTCTCTATATATTTACCATTGCCCTATTTCAGGCGTTTACCATCTGTAGTTTGAACTACCGCAGTAATTTATTGCCACAGCCAACTTCTTCACAGTCATTAGACTGATCTTTGTAAAAGGCAAAGCTCATATTTATCCCCTGCTTACCCTTTAGACTAAATTTCTTAGAATGACACATAAGAAAAGCTTCTTTATGAACTGACATAATTTACTTTATCATCTCTTTGCCATTGTATCACATGCAACTTTTACTCCAACATATACAGTGTTTACTATCTTAATTTCCTGAACAGTGCATACTGTTTCTCTCTGTCTGTCTGTCTGTCTGTCTATGTATCTATTTATCTCTTTCTCTCTCTTTTTTTAAATTTTAACAAACCCTTGGGCCGACCCCGTGGCTCACTTGGGAGGGTGCAGCGCTGGGAGTGCAGTGGCGCTCCCGCCGCGGGTTTGGATCCTATATAGGGATGGCCGGTGCGCTCACTGGCTGAGTGCGGTGCGGGCAACACCAAGCCAAGGGTTGTGATTCCCTTACTGGTCACAAAAAAGACCAAAAAACCCCCCCAAAACAAAAACAAACCCTTGTCTCGAGAACTGACTCTCAATAGATTGCCGCAAGGGAGCTGCTCTGTTACATACAAAATCCCGACCCAGAAACAGGTCTTCTACAAATGCTTTAGTACCAGGTTTGCCATGAACATGAGTAGTGTGGTGGCCTCCCTGTTTCCCGGGACAAGGGGATTTCCGCACTCCTGTGTGCAGCAGGGCAGGGGAATGGCTATCTGATGCCAGCCAAGGCTCTGTGGAGCTGCCGTTTCTCTGTCTTTCATGTGTTAAAATAACCTTCCCTGTTATGTTCAACTGGTGAAATGCTTCTCATCTCTGATGAAATGGCTTAGGCTTCATTTATTCATGTCCTCTGTGATTCCTTCTGATCTAGACAGTGTTCCATTAGACTATCACCTACTTTTTTTACAGTACTTTTATTTTTGTTTAATAATTGTTTATTTCTGTTTCCTGCCTGACGGACTGTGAGTGCCGTGATGATACAGGGATTACAGAGATCACAGCGTCTTTTTACTCAGGTGCCTAATATGCTGCAGGGGATACAGTAGATGTTTAGTAAAGAAATAATGTATCCTCTACGGTGTTCACTACCTGTAATGCTGACAATGTCTTACAAGTGGCAGCTTTTCTCTTTTTTATTTTTCAGTATTTCTCCCAGTTTACATGTAATATAATTTCCATACCTTTTTACAATTTGATTCTCCCCTGAAGATTAATTTAATAATTAAACCTAGCTTTAGGGAGAAAGTATTATAAATTCTTTAAAAATAGTATTCTTGACCCTTAATCTTAGTATATCCAAATACTCACTGTAGGCACAACTATCTCCTCCATGGATTTTGAAAGATAAGTATAAACTTTGTCAATAAATTTTATGTGCTCTAAGTAAAAACATTTTTGAAAATAAAGAGGTCAATATTGAGAGTGACAATCAATAAAATGCATTATGTATTAGGCATATATCTCTGTTACTTTGAGTTTTAAATCACCATTTCAGGAGGCTGATAAAATTTGCACAGTATAGATAGAAACAAGGAGGAGGTTCAAAAATGGTGGGCAGGTAGGTAGAAAGACCCTACAGTTTCCTGATCAGCTCTGTAACTGAATGTCTCTCCCAAGGCCAGCACAGAATGTTTGAAGTTATCCCAGAACACAGTGATCTAATGATTTCACTCTAGTCTGGATACAGAGCAAGACTCAGCCAAAATTGAACTAGTTATTTTCAGTATTTAAATTATTTTGCCACACAAAGGCCTGTTTATTTTGCCTTCTCTAATTTATAACCCCTGATTCATTTGGGTTTTGACATTTTCATGCATCTTATCTTTATGAGTTTGTCTTTAAGAAAGTATGAATCGGGCCAGCCCGGTGGCGCACTGCTACAGTGCGCCGCTTGAGAGCGCGACGGGGCTCCCTCCGAGGGTTCGGATCCCACATACAGACCGGTTCCCTGCTCACTGGCTGAGTGAGGGGCGGGCGCAGCACTGAGGGTTGCGATCCCGTTGCCGGTCCCGGTCCGGTACGGGTGCGACACTGAGG